CAGTCCAAGAGAAAGTTTCTTGGATTACAGTGAAAAGGCTTACATTATTTTTTTTCCAAAATATTAGTATTACGAATCCTTGTCTGACAGGATGGAGAAAACCCCTTATGACACATGACATAATCAACAGAGGCAAACTTTTAAAATCGGAAATACTTTATTCTGTCAGAAATCTTACCTAGGTGGAATTCCTCTCCAATGATGAAGCAGCATCAATTAATACAGGGACATGTATTGGCTCTGTAGGCAGGAAGGCAAGAAGCTTACTCTCTGTCAGGTGGTATGACTTGTCAGGGATGCCAGTAGAATTATGTGAGTAAAGTAAAATGTAAAAATATTCTCTTCTTTTCCAGATGCATGTATTACATTGGTTATGATCAGACAAAGATGAATATTGGCCTTCGCTTACTCCTTTGATTATTCAATATGTAGTTCTCTTCCCTGGACTATTGTTCTGCTTCTGTTAGCAGACAGCCCCTTTCTAAGCCTCTGTCAGCAAATTCTGAATCTTTTTAATCTTCCTGGTTCAGTTGGTAATTTAGGTTGCTTTGTCATGGTTGCTGTCCTGAGTTGGCTTTTTTTTTTTCCCCCCCTGAAGTTTATGTCTCTGCAGTTCCCTTTCATATTCAGTAGCTGAATAGTCATTGAGTCACAGTGTTGAACTGTACCAATACAATTCAAATTTTAGTCAAAAGTGAAGTATGTGATGGTGAAATTCTGGAGGAGATACTCCAAGAATACTGGTGTCTATGCAGGAAAGTGAATCCATTCAAAATATTAAGTGCCTATAGTTGTTGGTATTCCTTGGGGGATTTTTTTTTGGGAGGGAGGTTTGATGTTTATTTTCCATTTTGTGCTGGAAATTTCTTCATTTTTAATTTGGTCTCCTGTGGTGGCGCTTCATAGATTAAAACCATATGGAACACAAAAAGGAATTAGCTGCCTAAACATTCTTCATTTTTTTTCTGGAAAAAATAAGTAAATTTTATCTAGATTAATTACATTCTTGTTGGGTTTCAGCCTAATGTAATCCCTAGAGGCATTCAGACTCCTTTATAATAATAACTGTGACAAACTAAAAAAAATAATATTCCAGTTTACTGTATTTTTTCTCTGTAATTACTATGACAAAAAGGGAGCTACTAATGAAAGTGGACACAGAGATGTATTAGGTACCTTCAAAGTGATGTACAGTAGTTATGCCCCCCAAATTCAATTATCTCGAAAGAGTATTCATGCACAGATTGTGGCTCCTGTGCTTCTCTCTGATAATTTAGCCACAATCTGATGCAACAATGGTAATTTTATTTTCATTTTTGGCTTCTTGTTCCCTCTAAAGTGTTTGTTGTTCCTGTAGGAGCCCTTTCTCTTTGCAAACTGAGCAGTTATTTGATCATTGACACTGCCACTGGTTTGTGGAGTAACAGGATGATTAAGTATATTAGCAGAGTGCCTCATTTACCTACTCATTGGCAACAAACCCTTTGTCTCTGTTCTTTTTTTATGGTTTTTCATCTATTCTCTTTTATACTTCACTGATCTCATATTAGCAATTGACCTGCAATGTGGAAATGCGGGCGCGTTTCATGATGGCTTTGGGCAAACAGAAAGATCATCAATATATGCAAGAGTGAATCAATGTTTCCACTCTCCGAGAGAATAAAACAGGCGTTTTGAGGCATCTCAATTTGAGCGTTCCTGAAATCCACACAGCGCAGCATAATTGCTTGCAGAGACTTGTCCTAATTGGCAGCTTAAGGAAACGGACACAGACAGTTCTTAACACTTTCCACATGGAAAGTTCTCTGGAGACTGCTGAAACAATTAATAGTCATTTCTCTTTCTGCCTAAGGTGCATGACTTGAAAATGCAGATGAAATGCTGGCAAATCACACATTGAGGAGTCTGTGAACTTTTCCCAGGGCGGATGGCGTTTTCTGGAAGGAGAGAGCTGGGGGGTGGAGGAATGCACAGGGGAGATGAGAAATTTCATACATCCATCTTACATCCTTTTCGTCTCTTTCTCCCATTGTTTTATGCTTGTGTGTGCATATGTGCATCTGTAAAACATAATATCTGGATTTTTCCCCTGTGAAAACTTTGGACTGGTATTTTTTACTGTTGTGATCAAATTAATTGCTTCATTACAGATGCTGAAGACCTGCATGTTATTTATTCAGTAAGGAGGATTATATTTTTGCTTCTTTTCATATTGACTTATTTCAGTGTTTCTCCTACAATGTCTTCTGTTCTCCCTAGGGTTAAAAAAAATCAATTTCTTAATTTGTTTCTTTTAGACTTTTGTTTTGGAATGGATGATGAAAATACTACAATTCAAGAAGTCTGTTCTAAACCTGGCTTTCATAAAACAAATGCTTGTATTTTCCCTTGGTAGCCAATGAAAAAAAATCAAGGGAAAACAGTTTACAGAGGTTTGAATAGGGAGGTTTTAATAACATAGTGAATAATCTAAAGAATCATTCAAATAAGGTGTGGGTTTTTAAAATAAAAAAACAACTAACATCCCCACTGATTCCCCATATAATCTGTATTGGAGGTGCTACTTCTGTGATGTGCTTTTGTAATGAATGACAGCAACTTTCAATATACTGCCTGCTAGCTTGAACTCCCTCCTCAACCAGACAGGCTCACTCCTTTCTCAAAATAGTCTTACTGCCACCATGAACCCTCACTCCAGTAGTCACCTTGTAATCACAGCAGACCCAGCGGAGGCCACCCCTGGTACAGGTGGGCCTGGGAATCCAGCTATGGGATTTTTAATGTGTGTTTAACTGGCAGGTAAATACATGTTTATTAAAACAGGAAGCTGAAATAGATTAATTTGGTTCTTTCATAGCAGCCTTTATATTTAATAACCCATTAAAATCAAGGTGCAGGAAATATATTATTTTTCAGGAGAAGCTTTCAGTTAAACACACGGATCCTTAGGGTGTATTTTCATTTTTTGTCTAATGATCACCCTATACACTGGTTCTAGAGTGCAGACTGGAGGAGAGCACATAGAGTAAGATCCATCAAGAATCCTGCTACCGCCTCTCTCACCTGAGAGCTGTTTGCTTTGCTGCAGAAAACAATGGCACGTTTACGTTTTAGACATATAACATTACTGTGCTCAGTGATACTGAGAACCCCGTGTCCCATTTACCTGACTAGGAAGCTTATTGTAGCCATTGTAACTTTTGTCTATGGTAAAGGCCACACAGCTAGCTTTTTTATGCATGTTTACTACAGAGGAATAACAGTAATATTCTTTAAATGCTGGATTTTTTTTCCTTTTTTCCCAGTTTCTCCTGAACTACATCACTTGGAATGAATTTGCACTCCAAATATTGCAACATCGCAGCCCTTGTCAGCCTCTGTCTCTACTGTTTTTATCATAAAATATATTCTGGCTTTTGCTATTCAGGGCACCTATCTGTAGTATAAACAGATGCTTTTGAAGTGAGCCCTTCAGCTGTGGTGAGCAGAGTTCATATGCAGAGGTTAAGCACAGTCTGCTGACAGTGAGCGTGCTTACCTTTTTCTAATGTTTTATGTCATGGCAGTTTTTTTACTATTGCTGTTTATGGAGGAAGCCTATTGTGATGCAGCTGTTCTTTAAGATATGATATAACTGTTCTTTAAGGGAGGTTTTTCAAAAGAGAAGGTTTATCATATTTTGAAAATACCAAGGTTTAGGATCCTAGTTTCTGAAATATTTGAAATATTTCAAATGCTAAGGCTTCCAGAACCTTACAGTGATGATGGCAGGATAAACATCCATGCCAGAACACTGAAAGGACAGAGTAGTTCTGCTTTACTTTCTTTCAACTATTACTGCAAGGAGCATGATCATGAACTTCATGAAAATTCCAGAGAAGAGTTGTTTTGAAGTGGGCTGTGCTGAGAAGACCTGGACATCCTACAGATGTCCGAATGTCTCAAATTTGACAATATCCATAGGTTTTAAAGCCAAAAGGTCACAGTTTTGGTCTTGTTTACGTTTTTCAAACTTCTGGAGCTAACAGTGGAATGAAAAAGAGGGTACTAGAGTTCATCTTTCATCCCTCAGGTGCTAGGAGAATCACATTGTGCAGCATTGGATGGACCTCCCAATCACAGCATAAATCCCATTCATGGAGAGAGGTTCACTGGAGTGATATCCTTTACAGCTCTTAAAGGACTTTCTTAGGAGCAAACTACTCTATTCATAATTTCTACTGTCAACAAAAAGGATGTTCGCGTGAGAACATGCTGCTTCACTTTGAGATAAAAGACAAGGACATGCCAGTGGTGATGGTGACATGACCAGCTGCTGAGAGGGAGATGCCTGCAGGCTTCTCCGATATGATCAACCACTGGGTTTCTCCTGCAGCCATGTGGTACGTGCAGCACGGCACTGCACAGCCCTGTGCCTCCCTCAAGTCAGCTGTTGTGTGAATCTGTAACTCCTTGATGTACAATAGTCTTCTGGTTAGGACCACTAGAGGTGCCAAAACCAGACATACAGTTGTCCTCGTTTTCCTTCTGAAGAAGTTGACAATCACAAGAGAAATTTTAACAGCATTTTTGTGGTTTTAGACTAAATGTTCTTATGATAATAGCAGACAAATTGTCTGACCTCTTGAACACGTTTTGTAGTATGTATTTTGTAATATAAATGTTGTTGTTTTACAAGTGAACAAGCATCATTAAGTGTTGCATAGGAAACGCTGATGCAAAGCAAGTGGTCTGCTGACTTGGGCTGTAAAAGTGTAACCAGGTGTGCTAGGAGTAAAGTCAATTAATCATTTAATATTTATACCACCATAGAAAATCAGTGCAGATTTCCAAATCAAGTGGTTGCCTAGCATCATAAATGAAATTATTTCCCCTCTTCTGAGTTTGCATCCACATGCATCTGTTACTCCTTACTCTATATCTGTTATAAGTTCAGGTGCCTTGCTTTCTGTAGTGGATTTCTCACTTTCTTCTTCACCCTCTCCCTTGTGCCTTCGCAGTGGTCAGTGTATATCCGCGCTGCTGTCCGCAAAGAGAAAGGATTGCCCATCCTGGTGGAACTGCTTCGAATAGACAACGACCGGGTGGTATGTGCAGTTGCTACAGCTTTACGAAACATGGCCTTAGATGTCAGAAATAAGGAGCTAATAGGTATGTTCTTTCCAAACAATCTATATGGTCTGTGCGTTTCGGGTTGTTGTTGGGTTTTTTTCCAGTTTGCAGCAGAATGAGCACAATGAAAATAATTAGTCTGACATTCCTAGCACAATTTTCATATTTTTTCTCTAATGTGTCATATTTAGATTTTATGTGACAGCTTAGTGCTGTAGTGCAGGGAATTGTTAAATTAATTAAATATCATGCAGTGTTTCATGATCTGTCATACTGTAATCTCCAGAAGAAAAGCAATGGCTTTGTTTTGTTTTAGCACTTCATTCCTAGGCTGGCAGTAGCACTTGCATCTTCCAGATCAAGAATCTAAGCAGAGCAGCCTCTCCTGATCTTCAGATTATCTATTGCAAGTAATTTTGGGATCATGAAGTGACAGGAATTCACTAGGCAGATTTATAGCTTCAGCAAGCAAACTGGGTGATGCTTGATTCACAATATGTAAGTTAAAGATGAGGACAACAATTTAATGAAAAACATTAATGTGCCTGAATTCTAGTGGCATGGTAAGCAAACATCTTAGTATTTGGGTATTTTTTATTTTGTTAGGTTTTTTATGGATTTTTTTAGCCAAAATTCATGCAAACACTGTGGATCATTGAACTTCTATTTTCATGTTCTGTTTTTGAAAAATAATCACTTCTTTGATTTTGAACTATTTCAACAGTCATGACAAAATTATTTCTACTTCCTCTGTAAATTAAGAGCTTTTTTAAATTCATTTTTGCTAACTTGTTATCATTACAGCATACTTTTCCTCCTCTGCTTCTAATTGCAAAATTTCTCAAATAGATTATTCTGTCATAACGTTCTATTATGTGTATCCAGTGCTATCTCAGAGTTAGTGCATCATTACAGCAGTGCTCTGCACGTTGTTGAAACAAGGCAGTTACTCCTCTCACATACTGTACAAACTAGAGAGACTTCATGACAAAATGTTGTAAAGCAAATAGAGGTAGAGGTTAGTGAGCAGTGTAAACCTGCTGTGATTACCCAGGGATTGAACACCAGACCAGTGCTATACCTGCAAGACCAGCCTGCTTGTTCAGCTTTTGCTCATGTTATAGTTGATATAATTGCGTGGAATTAGATTTGTTCTATGTATTGTGTTCAGATTTCAGGAAACAGGATACTACATATGTGTTCTTAGTGGGTTTTTTGTTGTTCCCTAGGAATTTTCAAGTAGAAATCACTGCTGAAGCAAATACATTAGACCATCAAATCTGGATTAATAACCGACCTTTTCATTCATCTCATAATCTCACCTCCACATTCACTTTACAGCTTGTCATAGTCTCTATTATCTAACATCTTATTCTTTTATTTGTGGAACTTTCCCTACAGGGTTCACAAACTGCATTCATACTGAGTTATCTTCTATAATCTCTTAACCCTACTTATTGATGTAACAAAAAAATCTTTATAGTTGAATTTAGAGAGTATAAATATGGTTTATGGTGGCATGAATTAGACCATATGTGGTTACCCGTTCTGTGCTCTGGTTATTATTGAGAGTTTTATTTCCTTCCCAAAACTGCAAATTTAATTAAGGAAAGTAATGCTGTACATGTGAAATTGAGCTGTCTTAATATGACATGCCATTTAAAATACTGGGTAGTATATGGATAATAAGCTTGCACAACCTCAGCATTTTAATATTTTATGAAATTACTGACAAACATGAAATGTAAACAAATATGTATTTTTTAAAAGTGGGAAAAGTATGGTGAAAGTAGGTACCTAATTTATTTCCATCACCAAGTTGTAATGGCTGTACAATGCTGCTCAGATTTCAGTTATCATGGGGTGATTCTGAGGAATTGTAACCCATAACTGCAATACGAATTTGCTGCACTTTAAAAATAGTCCAAACATGCCAATATGACCGGGAAGTTATGACTGTAATGCCTGAATCATTTCAGCTGTGATCTTTATATGTTCATTTTGTTGCCTTTCATCATTGAACTTCAAAGAAACAGTAATAATGGTCATTATTTCTCTTGTTCCTGAATATTTTTATCAAATAGAACATATAATAGAGCAGATTTTCAGAAATGCTGGACACCTAGAGTGGTCAAGGGTTTCAACTCATGTTGTAGATGGTTCATTTTCATTAATATTACAGTTTCACACATTCTACGATACTTAGCTGTTGTTATGGAAAGGAGGACTCAAAAGGGGCTTCTTCAAGTTAGTCCCTCAAGTGTCTTTCTGCCTAAGCAGAATCAACATCCTGTTTATCTTTTCTCATTGCAGTTTTTGTTAGTGCATCATGTTGTGCTGACAGGTTCTACTTCATGAACTGGAATTTCCCCCTTAAGATAAACTTTTTTAAAAGGTGAATTTTCCAACTGTATATATAGCAAAATTTATAATGTAGAATTGAGTTGACTGGGGGTTTTTAGTGCATCTAGAAAGCTTTCTTTTCACTAGTGCCGTGGTTCCATTGCTAAGTGACAAATTTTTATCAAAATGTGCCAGAGAATGAAATATTTCTTTCTGCTGCTGCCAAGCAGCCCATAGATCAATGTTAAGGCATCTGGCAAATATATCAGAAAGCTTTCTAAAATCCAGACTCACCTGTAAAGAGCTACAAAACAAGCAAAAAGACTCTTTTTTTTTAAATGGCCATAAGTTTCTTTCCTGACTTCACTGAATTGACCAGTCTGTTTTGTTTTTTACACAAACCTATCAAGTGTGTCATTATATTGCTAAAGATTGCTGCCAGGCTTCTCTTATAATTTATCTGAGCCATCCCCACAACAGCATTTTCTTTATTTATAGTGAGATCTTCTTCCTGGGTTTCATTTCAAGCATGCTTCATGTCCTTAAAAGGACCTTCTTTTTTCTCCTCCTCAATCATTTTGCATTGTGCCACATGTCTCTAGGCCAAGAGACTAGGTGTATTCATCTTTCTACTTCCCAAAATTAAACTGCACTCAGACAAAGATGTGGTAGAGTTGGACTAGTTAGTACAGGCACTGGATAATCCAGCATCAGGTTTTCCCTCCTTAGGTGTTATGCCCAGGTATTTTCCAGGTCACAGTCTGACCACATCAATTCTCCACATGCCTTTCTGGACTCTTGTCTGCATTAAATAGTACCCACTCTATGGTGCTTCCCAGGAGTTCTTCCCATGTGAAGGTTTATCAGCCTTTTTTCTTGCCCAGCAAGAAGAAAATCCTACATTAGGATTGTTCTTGTATATGCATGACATTTGCCTTTGATTTTGAATTACAATTATGGTGGCTTATTAAAGTGCAGCAGGTGGTCTTTCAAAAGAGTTAAGCTGTTTTTACAAGCTGCCCCAGATGAGAAGTATTTATGTACAGTAGAATATGTCCAATATAGGATTGCTCTCTTGAAGTACAATTTGGAACTCGTATGAGTATTGCATTTCATACTGTTTGGTGATAAGTCCACAGGGTACAGGCTTTGGAGTGAATGCAGAACTGGAGGTAAAATTTATAAAATTTCAATTCACAGCTTTATGCTTCAGGTCTTTCTATCAGTTTTCTCTTACCCTGACCATGGTTTCTTGGACTCTCAGACTGTATTTTTGTGATGAGATAAAACTTGTTATCAGGGACTGGAGGTATTTTGATCACTTACCCTTGGGAAAAAAAAATAAAATAGGTCAGTTCTGCCTAAAGTTTTCTGTTGACTTCTTGACTTTTTAGAAGATACGTCCTTATGCGTGTCTTCCCTGAAAATGTGTAGAGAATCCATGTGTCTATTCAGGGCTCTAGATTGTATGGACTTTGATGGGATAAATTGAAGTGTTGCAACATTGAAGACATCCTTTTGTGGCTATCTCTGTAAAAGCGTGATTCAGATAACTGGAGTTAGTGATACAATTTATGCAGCTCTCACAAGTTTTTTAATCAAGTCCTGAAACGTGGCCTCCAGTAGGGGTCATTTTTGAACAATTGTTCCTGAGTTGGAGGCTACAAAGTGGCAGTATTCAATTATTCTCAAATCACTTATCATCTGTTGGTAATGCTGTTACCAGATACACACAAAATTCAAGGATGGCATATCAACTACACTGTTAATGAATGTGCATTGGAACATGCTTAATCTTGGTCGGTGTCTTAAACAACTCCTACATTAGATTCCATTATAGTTGACTGAGAGAAAGTGACTTCTTTTATATAACGTGCCATAAAATGGATCTCACCCAGTATTCCTGTGTCTCCATTGCTGAGTGATGAAGAAGTTCTAGGGAAAGTATAAATTTCCACTGAGTGCATGCCTTGCCATTTCATGAGCAACATGGGTCTCTTCGGGTGCCTCATATACCTCGTGTTTGTTTCAAAGTTTTATCGCTAAACTTGAGAAAGTTTGATTGAAATATATTCCAGGAGTTTACAACTCAAATGAATTGTTAGACTCTCAGAATCATGCAGGTTGGAAAGAATTTCAGGAGGTCATTTTGCCCAGCCATGCACTCAAAGCAGAGTCAGGTATGTTATTTCAAATGTGATAATGATTCACATTCAGAAAGATTTGCTTTCAGCTGTTAGGTTGAAAACATGTCAGAAACAAGTATTTGCATTTTCATAACAGAATGTGACTCTTCTGGAGCATAAATAACTGCATGGAATTCTCCTATCTTAGAACATAGTCACATTTTAAGATCACAACTTTGTTTAAACATTAGTAATAAATCCAAGGGAAAACAGTGTTAGTATCACAGTTACAAGAATAGCAGCTATAAGAAATTCTAAGTCCTAGTAATGTACTTTCATAGAGAATATAGGGATGGGTTGAGAGATGATTAAATCAAATATGCTGCTTTCATCCCACTTCAAGTGTCTACATGCCGTTTTCTCTCCTTTTTAAATGTGAGCACTTCTGAATTTCTCATACATACATCTGCAGGGATCAGAGAGGCGCTGAATTTTTTTAATTGAATTTTTAGTTGACTTAACAAGTATCTTAGTCACTGAAATGTTAAATTGACATAAATTGGCAATATG